ACCTTTCTTTCTGTTCCTTAAACTAAACTGTTGAAGATGTGGTGCTGCTGTTGCAGGCTGCAGGGATAAAGAAAACTAAAAACCCCTCAAAACAAAACTAGAGGATGTACGAAGTGACAGCTGTGTAATGTAAGCACATGAAAAACCCTGTGTTCTGAAGGCCAAAAAGGGCAATTGCTCTTAGCTCAGCGCTTCACACGAGATCAGCAAAGCAGCTCCACAGCTTGCATGGGAGGTTATGCCTACTGAAAAAGACTCAAAACACAGACTCTTTTTTTCTACTTTCTCTCAGGAAAAACAATCTTTCCTCGTATTCTTTCTTAGTGATGGATGATCTACTCATAGATAACTCGGCACTCACATGCTGTGCATTTAGGAGAAAAACTGTGTGGATGTTCCTTTAGAGAGGAATAGAGTTCAATGCAAGCACTAAGACAGCAGAAGGGTAGATAGAAATCTTCCAGGATGAACTGTTCCATTAGTTTTATTAGCAAATAAGCTTTGTTTTGAAAGAAAATAAATATGAGGAAGACACCTTTATAGCCACAATGAAAATACCAGCTACTACAGAGAAATCCCTGATCATGAACAATACAACACAAGACCTGGAGATGGAGGTCTGTGTCCTCAGCAAGGCTGAGGGTAGCAGGCTGCTTGGCTTGGCAGTGCAGTCCTGCAGCCACACTCAGTGCCACTGAGAGCCCGTGGTTTAACCAGACTTGAAGAGAAGAATAGCAACTTGGCCGAGGTAGAAGTAGATGAAGTGTTTGGTCTCATGAGTCACGTAGCTGCCAAAGTTCCTTCCCACGATGCAGTGCCAAGTAGGATTGTATTTCTTGTCAAATTCCTACAGAAGAGAGAACTACAAATTTAGCATTTCTTATGAGAACTGGCCTAACACTTCTGTTTTGGCACTGATCTGTCACTTCTTAGCAAGTACCGCATTCTGAAGATAGCAATTAAGGAGCAGCATATGCTCTTAAGTGCAGGGATCATCTGTTGTCTTATAACTATCTGCTGCTTACTTTAAAAAAGCTCACCAGGAATAAGACTGAAATCTGGTTGCTTCCTCCAAAGCCACGCTTCACTGCTCGTTCTGAATCTGTGCAGATTATTTTAACTTCATTAGCTGTTCTTATCAGCAAGGATGCTGAAAGGACTCTGAAATATTCTTTGCCCAAATCTTTACACCAGTGCCATGAGAACATTTTTTCTACCCATCATACCAGGAGCCTGCTATGAGATTATTTAAAACTCATCAGTGCAATCCTAGTCTGAGCAGAACCTTCCAGCTGGTGGCTGTGTGCTGCAGTGCCTGTCCACAGCAGTAAGAGCGTGCAGCAGTTTGTCTTCTGCTCAGCTCAGTCAGGCTCCAAGTAGGAGGCAGAAAATGTGACACACTGTAAGGAACGACCCATCTGTTCTGCTTTAGTGAGAACAGTTTGTCCTGCGTGCGGTGGGAAGGAAAGCCGAAGGGTGACAAGGTCAGCAAAGCAGCCCTTCTCAAATAGGTTCGTTTGGATGGGGAGGCAATGGAAATAAAAGCTTAAAGTACTGCGAGAGAAAGGCAGAAGGACCAGAGAAGTCCATGCAAAGGCGAGGAAAGCGATCTCAGCCTTCAAGAAAGCCCAGCTCGGGGAGCCGGTATCTCTGGAACTCGTTCCTCGAGCGCTGCTCGCCCAGCAGCATTCCCCCCGTCGGTGTCACACACAGCACCGCAGCGCTTTACCTTCTTGATGTGCGCCGCGATGTCCTTCTCGATGTTATACTTCTCCAGTGCCTGCGTAGCGCACTCCACGGAGTCCTGCTGCATCTCCTCCGACATGTCGGCGTTCTTGATCACCGCTTTTCGGTCACTCATGGTTGCCTGCAGCGGGCACGGAACCCGGAGCTGGAGGTGCAGCCGCGCGCTTACGCGCACATCGCCGTTCCCCTCCCACCCCAGCAGCCCCCCGTCCCGTTCCGGCAGTCCTCCCCCCGCCCCGCCGCCGCCGTCGCCCCGCACTCTCCGTGCCCGGACCCGCTCACCGATGCGGGCGCTGCGGACCGGCGCCGATCGGAGCTGCCGCCTGCACGCCGCTCCCGGCGCACGCCTCCGCTCCCGCAGCCCCGCCCCGAGCTCCACCTCCTCCGCGCTGCCCGCCTGCCATTGGCTGCGGCCCCGCCTCCCCGAACTCTCATTGGCCAGCCGGCGGAGCTCCTCTCGGATTTTATTCCGGCGTTTTCTTTCCGCCCGGCATGCCGCGTGTCCGCGTCCGTTCCCATAGCGACGGGCGGGGCGGCGGGAGGGCGCCCGCTCCGAAGCTCGGGAACCGCGCTCCATCGATCTTCACATTAATGTGCCTATTTTCAGTTTTTGGTTGTCTTTCTGACCGACCGACCTCTGATAAAAGCCTTTTGCCCACGTCTACGGAGATCGATCAGGTCCGGCTCTAAAATCGGCTCCTTTAACGAGCGGAACCCATCGGGTCCAAGTTTGATGTCAGGCAGTTTGGCAGCCATCGCCATCTCTGCGCCGTTCTGACTGAGCGCAGCAGTGAGGAGGCAGAAGGAGCCCTGCTGCTGACAGCCTGAAAAGCTTTGGGGTCCTGGGGCCACAGTGTGCAATGAATGCACAGAGCGCCAGCAATGGCTCCGTGCGTATGGCAGAAATGAGGCACTGAAGTGTCTGCCCTGTGCCTGCGGTGACCTTCAGAACCAGCCGTGGGCTCTGAGGAGGCGGTGTTTGGTAGCTGCAGGCACATTTCTGTGCTTTTATTAAGAACTGGTTTGCTGAAGGAGCAATGTGATGACAGCTGCAAGAACTGTCTGTGGGTGAGACGTGGGGCTGCACAAACACGAAAGCCAGAGATACGTGGCTTTAAAGAAACACTGTACAGCTTTTCCTGTTGATCAGGAATGTGAAAGCGCGTTTCCCTCAGGCCAGAACTGCAGGGGAAGGCAGAACATACATGCAAGGAGATGGCAGCTGGAGCAGAGGACGTGCCAGAGATGTTGGGCAGGGGATGGTGCCTGTCAAGAGACTCCTGCTGCAGGTGGAGGTTGGACAGCCAGCACTGTTCAGCCGAGGTTTCTTTTCTTTTTTTTTGCTCTGTGTTGAATACGTATCAGAATGACGCTTTTCCTGGGGCTCCCAGTTTCTACCAAAACTTCAAATAATAATTATTAACAATAGAACACCCTCAGTTTTTGTGTTTCCATACAACTGAAGAAATCTCTGCCTTGAAATGTCTTTGTAAACATAGCATCTATCTGCCAGGGCATCTAGCCCAGTGTTATGTTACAGATCTGCATAGCTGTGGAGAAAACATAGCAGGTGTAAGTCAAACCAGCTCCATGGTCTCCAAGGGAACCGGAATAGCTATAGCAGCTCAGAATATGGCTTCCTTTCTTTCTTTTTTTAACCAAAAAGACTTTTCTCTTTTGGCTGTGGTAATCCACTGAGAAAAAACAGTTGTTTTACAGGTTTGTATTATGTTGGCCTCACTTTTGTTTTTGTTGTTTTTTTTTTCTCAATTGTATGTAGCACAATGGTGTAAGGATGTGAGCCAGGGGCGCCTCCTCTCCTCTGGGTGCAGCCCACCCCGGTGGAGCTCAGCCATCCCACAGGGCAGCACCACCTCATTACATGGAGTTGAGGCACCAATCAACGCATGCTGCCCCACAGGCACCTCGTCCACCCTGTGCAAGGGTTCCTGAAGTGCAGGTTGTGGGGATCTGAGTCAGGGCTGTAATTCCCTTATTAGCAGGGACATTGTAACAAACCCCTTCATTAAGGAAATAGATGCTTTCAACTTGTAAGACAGTTTGAGGCTGCAGGGAACAAGCATTAGGCAGTCTGTCCTCTCACCAGGGTGTGTGGTTAAGGGAGCAGCAGAGAATTGGAAGCTTTAAGCTCAGCCCGTGCTGCACGGGGAACGTGGGATCATCTTGGTCCAAATTGCTTTGATTGCTGCCTTATGATACACTGGGCTGCTGGCTCCTGCGGCCATGCTGTTCAACTCCTCTCCCTTTCTTTATGTAAATAATGTCCCCATTCCCTCTGACAGGGAAAAGACGACAGCCAACATGGACAGAACACACAGGGATTTCTCAGGGTGGGAATTCTCTGCTAACGTGTGTGCGTCATATGGTGCACCTTGAAGTCTGTCCTTGTGATTTATATACAAACACAACCTGGTTTACAGTTTGCAGGGTCGGATTCTTGACAAGTCTGACACAAGCTCTAATTTTCAAGCTTTGCAGTGAATTTGACAGTCAGAAAGAGACTTAGTTTATTAATTAAGTCTTGTTTGTAGGGATGTAGAATATAGAGTCCATAGGAGAAACAATTACAATTATGGCTGTTTAGCATCTCCTCTACCAAGCATCACATGCACAAAGCTGCTGTTGTTCATTATACAGAAATGCAGAGAAGCAAAGTGGGAGTAATTTTTTTTCCTGCAATCAGATACAGAACACGCATTGTGTGGACGACACTGAATTCTGATCTGAGGAGGAGTTTCTGCCCTCGAGGAGTTTGTGCCAGGAGCTGTGGAAGACCCTGCTGTCCTGGCACATCTCAAGAGCCACAAGAGCAGACTTAAAACTGCTGACCAGCAGTATTCCATTACAACAACTTCAAGGGTCTTTTCTAGCACTTCTTCAGAAATTTCACTGTGGCTCAGCATGTCGTGATCTTTTTTAGTGCGTGGCATTATAGCCGGAGGAAATAAATCTGGATCCTTAAATCTGTATTTGGAGGGGCACCACATGGGAAGAAAAAGATTGGTTTTAAGCCTTTAAGTCCAGTTACTGTGGCCTGGAAATGAATGGTCTGGGCTATTTGGTTCTGGTTTGCTGAAGCATTCTTCAAATGTGTCACTGCCTTTCCTCAACAAGCTTGACCTTACCTTGTCTCTGATTTGTACAGGTTCAGTGAGGAAGCTTCTCAGCCAGCTGAGAAATGTTGGATACAACTTTCCCTTGTTTTCCTAACAAATTAGCTCAATAAAACTATCTGTTTTAACCTTCAGTTTTTAATGTTCTCTTTAAAGCCCTTAAGCCATTCAGGAATATAAAATACATAAAATATGCTTTGATATATGGAAGCACTTGTCATGCTGCCTTCCAGTTTCATGAACATCAAGTATTTCAGCACCAAGAGAATTTACAGAAGGATGGGACAGAAAGTTTAGCAGAGCAAGTGTTCTGTGGATCCAAATTCATGCTGGGGTATTTCAGTTGTGACCACACAAAACAGTTTTCCCAAATAAAATACGGACATGGCATTTGAGTTCTCTCACTACGAACCCTTCAGGACAGTATCTCGTTCTTCCAGCTCTGGTAAAGGGATGTTACCTGGGAGAAAACAGAGTTGTGTGAGACCAGCTGTCAGTGAGCAGTGCAGCTTAATGCAACAGTGCTACTCCAGTTCATCCTGAGCGCATGCAGACAGTCTGAATTTGTGAGCACGTAAGGAAAGTCAGGAAGTTCTGTTTGGCTTCCTGTAAGCAGTGATGTGCAGAAGAGCTGCAAGGTAACATTAAACTGCTTTTGGCTCAACAGCTTGCAGTGTGCCCCAGGTTTTGTGTTTGTTAGCACAGATGACTGCAGTCATTCCTTACTTTGGAAAGCAATTTGTGATGGCAGGTGACGCTCCTCAGGTTAACTCAAGCACAATACAAAGGTTCTATAAAGAAGGCAGTACCTGGTGGGGCTACGAAATATTCCTCTACTTTCTCTCTGGCGTTTTTCAGCAGCTCTGCCGTGCAGCTGCCCTCTGTAACGTCATCTTCCCGGAGATACAGACACCTGAGGACAGCGGCCAGGGGTCGGTGCGCTGCGCAGAGGGCCGGATGCGAACGTGGGCGACTCCCAGCACCAAGGCGCCCGACGGCCGCACAGCGCAGAGCCGCGGCCCTTACCTGTCCTCCAGCACCGAGTCCATCGGCTCGACTCCCTCCGTGTTCACCTCCCGCAGCCGCTCAGCGAACCGCACCGCCTCCCGCAGCCGCTCAACGCCCTCGGCATCGCGGAAGTCCACCAGGGCCAGGCGCTCCAGGTGGTCGAGAACCTCCACCGTGACGCCGTCCTGCAACAGAGCGGAGACCGGGCTGCTCAAACCGTTACCGCCCCCAGCGGAGCGGCGCGGCCCCGGGAGCTGCCCGACCTGCGGGGGCGGCGCGGAGCTCGCAGTGACCGCCCCGCGTCCGAGGGCTCGCACCGTCCCGCCCCGCAGCCACCGGCACAAGCCCAACACCCGCATCGCGCGCCACCGGAAGCGGCTCGTGATGTCATCGACACGCGCCGGAAGTGCGTCGGAACGGTGGCGGAGGGGCCGTGCCGCCGCCATGAACAGCGTAGGGGAGGCGTGCACCGAGCTGAAGCGCGAGTACGACCAGTGCTTCAACCGCTGGTTCGCCGAGAAGTTCCTCAAGGGCGAGAACGACGGGGACCCCTGCGGGCAGCTCTTCAAGCGCTACCAGCTCTGCGTGCAGGTGCGGGCCCTGCGGAGCCGCCGCCTGCACGGACTTCAGCGTCCGTAACGTTAGGAGCCCACCCGGGGCAGACCTGGGGCTGCTATTTCTAGATGATGGTTTGAACCGAAACTTTTGTTTCTCAGCACTGTAAAGCGCTGTCTGAAACACGCTTCCAACATAACTTGTTTTGTTCTTGTTCTTTCCAGAAAGCGATCAAGGAGAAGGACATACCCATCGAAGGGCTGGAGTTCATGGGCCCGAGCAAAGGGAAAGCTGAAAATTCCTCTTGACTTCAGCTGACTGGAGGGAGTCATTAATACGAGCCTGTGGGCTGAGAACAGTGACCAGCCAGCAGCCGGGACGCACCTGGATAGCGTTTTGCTAAGCTGCTTCCTCTCTGTAGCATTCTAGGAAGTGGGGTGTTTTCTATGCTTGTAAAAACAAACTGCCACGAACCAAAAGACTTCATGATGTGCTACCTGCTGCCTCCTTTCCAATGAATTGTGGTGGTGGTTCGGCTTATAACAGTGCAGAAAGATGATTTAAGTAACTTCTATCGAATGTACTTTGTAATGGGAGATGTTGAACTTATAGTTAATCTCTGACCCATTTCTCTTGCTTATTTATATAACACTTGGAGGTGTTTAACAAGAAGGTTGATTTACTTTGCCTCATCTCTGTGGTGCTGAATTTGGGTGGAAGAAGTCTGGTTTATATGATCCCAAAAGACGAGGGGCTAAAGCATTGATTTTGCCATTAACAGAGATAGTGTAAAAGCACTTTTGCTGGACTTGCAATAACTGAAATGAAATAAATATAACAAGTTACATTTTGTTCAAGTGGATAAGTGTCTGGTAGCGTCTGATTATGACCTCCAAGAGGAACAAAGGCAGCCTGTAACAGAAGTGAAGGAACGGTTAATGCAGAGCCCACTTTCTTCGGCCTTTTCTGAGGTACTGAAGTAATCCTGAATTTGAATTCTTGCTCCTTTGGTGTAATGTGTTACTGCAGTAGAACTGCACAGGCCTGGCCATCTTTGTACACGCTACCAATGGAGCACCGGGTTGTCTACAACTACTGTTACATTTTTCATTGAGATAATCAAAGTGTGTGTTGAATGAGAACAGTGGTGAACTGAAGTTTTACAGCTGATAAGTTAAAAGCCCCAGCAGCTTGTCCTGCCTCACCTCACCTGCTTACGAAGCTGCTCCTGGACTGTGTGCACTTCACACCTTGTAAAGCAAACTAAAGGTACTGTCGGTCTTAATGCGTTGGCTCGTAAACTGCAGAAATTCCAAGTAAGTTATTCAGCAATTTGGTAGTGGATGCTGAAAGAGTGAGATGGTTGGCTGATGTGCCAGACGCCCCATCTGAGTGTTTGTGTCACTCCTGTGCAACTTGACTGAGTAGCAGGCACTTTGTTTTTTCCTAAAATGAGTATCTGAAATTCTCTTCCTTTGAATGTAGAAAAGTAAAGGAGGCTTCTCAGCAAAAAGAATAGGATGGTGTTTATTTTCCCATCTAATTGTGAAGTTGTTAGGAATTACCCTTGTCCTCTCCAAGTATTTTCTACTTGGTCCACCACAATATTATAGCAACAAAGGTTCTTTCACTCCTGCAGATCTTGCAACAGTTAGAGAGAAAGGGTGCAGGAGGAGAAGCACGAGCTCAGGACTCACCCATGTCATCCCATGGCCCTGTGAGCACTGTGGCAGGAATGGGCAGAGCTGTCCCCTCTACATCAACACAGATAAAAGAGACAATCTATGCTGGGGACAAAACAGGAGTAAATTTCTTAATTTTCTTGGAATTACAGTGAGGGGAAAATGGAGAACGCCACGCTCCTTGGCTCTTAGACGCTACCTGAAGGGCAACTCGGGTTTTACTTCTTTATTTTTTTAATTAAGAAGTTAGGAGTTCTCAAACATAAGTGCTGGCCTGTCTACCCCACAGCTTCTAAGTAATAACTGCGAGCAATTAGAGGTTTGAGGCTTGTGCAGCTCAGAAACTGCAGCACTGGGGATCGTTGTGCCCCATGCCCTCAGCAACAGCAGTAGCTCCAGCACGGTCACATAGCCTGCATTAACCACACTCCTCACATGCATGAGGCAGCTGGCAAAACAGCCTGTGCAGAAATCAAGTGTAGCACTTACAGAGTAAGCTGTTAATGCTTACTGCTGGGTCACTCAGTATAAATGGAACTGAATTTATAATATTAGACTAATAGCCGTTCATCTGCATGTGGGATAACAAGTATCAGTTAAACCAGACAAAATCCATTATTTGATTTTATATCCTTTGTGATGGATGTGTGACTTGTTAGCATTACCAGATATGGGAGCAGGTATTAACACTCAGTCAAAGCCCCCTGTTTCTGTGCTGGGGAAGGTTCAACGCTAAAATTAGGAATTTTTAAGGAGTCACAGATTAATAAAAAAGTCAGAGCCTAAATTCAGGCTTGGAACTGTTTATTTAAAGGACTTCTACAGAAATACTGGTGGAGACCAGACCACCATTCAACTTGACTGTAGAAGGAATGCAGATCTTCTTAAGTGATGGTTCCCACAGAACAGCCTGGTCCAAACACAAGAAGAGCCAAAGTTGTGGCTGTGGTTGAGATTTTAGTTTTCATCTTCATAACCGGTTGGGAGAGCATTTGTACGAGGGTTATGGAATAGAGTTTTGTTCCCATCACCCCAGGGAAAAGGCTGTTGGAGGAAAGAAGGAAAATAAGCCTTTAGCAATTAACTGAAGGAGCATAGCAAAAATGGACTCAACACCAAACACAGACTCCAGCTTAAGCAAGCTGGTAGCACTCCCAGGCTGTACAAAACTAGAGATGAAAAAATCTCCATTAGCTGACAGCTGTTGTCTCCAAACAGCAAAGTCACTGCTGTCATTTGGACATCCACTGTGCTGTGCCATGAGGACCCCTGCTACGAGAGGCTGGGATCAGCTGTTAACGTGCAATCTGTATTAGCCAGAGGTAAACACAGCATCTCTACACCTGAGATGTTGTTCTGGGAGACATCACCAAGGCTACCTGGGGCTGGGAGATGCACGGTGGTACCAGAGCTGCCAGACACTGCTGAGCTGGGAGCAAAGCCGCGAGTTAAAAGCACGGCTGTACACACAGCACCTTGCTCAGCAGATGCCTGTGCTCCTCCAATTTGAAACTCTGGGCACTCGGAGCTCACAGAACACAGCAGGTAAACAAATGCACCTTAGTGCGGATGCGGAGATGAGAGTAGCGGATGAACTCGGGCCGCTCGTGCTTGTGCTGTGCCTTCAGGTAGCAGTTCAGCATACAGACACCGACCGCAGGCAGCGCCACGACGAAGCTCAGCGTCTTCCACAGGCGGGCTGGAGGCGGTACGGAACACAGCAACAGTGACTGTCCGCGTCACGGCGGGACCCGAGGGCACGTTAAGTGTTAACACGTGAACGGGGCCGCAGCGCTGGCCCCTGCCAGCCCCCAAAGGGCACCCCGGGGGCAGCACGTCCCGGCCCGGCGCAGAGGGCAGCGGCGCGATGCGAACCCGCGCTACGCCCCCTCGTCCCCGTTACCTCCGCCGCCTTCGTGCGCCACCGCGGCCGCCATGCTCCGGGCAGGCACTGAGCCGGGAGCGGCGGGCAGCAGCCGGGACAGCCCTCTGAGCGCCGCCATGTCCTCAGCGTCCGGAGCGCCCTCCGGAACCGGAAATGACGTCACTGCAGCGGGACGGAGCACGCGCAGTGTTCCGCCACCGCCTGCCTGACCTTGAGCTGCGGCACGCTTCTGCGCATGCGTTGTCGCAGGGCGGGAGGATCTTTAGTCACGTGAGCATCCTCGCGCTAAGTCGCTGAAGGGTGGTGAAGGGGCGCCATTTTGGTGCTGAGGGGTGATGCTGATGTGTTGCTGTTGGAGGCTTAGGGTGTTGCTGTGTGAGCTCTGGAGCTGTGAGGATGGGATTGGAGAGCCCTGGAAAGAGGATGGGAAGGGGCCCTCGATTGAGGCTGTGCATAAGCAGTGGCAGTCAGTGCAGAGCAGTGAGGAAAGGAGCCAGCTTTAGGAGGTGTGGGCATAGGGCTGGCTGGGCTGGGGCACAGAGGAGGCTGCAGTGAGGCTGTGGCTGATGTGAACTCATCCTGGGTACTGCAGGTCAGCACAGGGTGGAATTGGTGTTCAGGCTGATCTCCAAGCAGAAGAAGGGAAGGTAACCATGCATGGCACTGTGTGCAAATGAAACGTAGAGGAGGAACGTTTCCTAGTGTTCTGTGGCTGAGATTCAGAGTCTGTGCTCAGTGCAGGCAGCTTCAGAGATGCTCCTTGCGTCCTGGGTAACGTTCCCTGCCAGTGAGGTGATTGCACTGCTGTATTTTGATTGCTTTTAGGCAACATCAAGAGGACATCTGTTGTGTTTCTTAAGGTTTTTGTTTGTTTGTTTACAGGTATGTATTAGGGACCAATGTTCTCACTGGGATATAAAAGTTATGTTGGTCATAACAGTAAAAGTATGCCTGTAATTAAATGTATTTTTGTAGCCACTGGTATATTTTTAATTATGTGGATTCCTGGGATAATTCTGCTGACAACATCTTTTGGATCAACAAAACATCTCCAGAAGAACTCTTCATGGTAATTAATTTGCAAATGTCTGGATCCTATTTGACTGTGGTTCTTACTGGAGCCTGGCAATAGCCTGTTTGACCTTTGGTAGAAGCCAGGTTGATGGAGGGCACAGTCAGAGCAGCAGCCTGCGAAGCTCCAGAGGGCTCATGGAGAACAACTAAAAAGGGTTCCTGTCTGTCCTCCCCTGGGTGTGCTGCTGGTTTCATTACTTTCTGATTTAAAATAGTACTTCCTCAAGCTTTATCATCCCTACAAATAATCTCTATCTTGGGCATGTCAGGAGACTAATGGGTCTGATTCACCTCTTCTTTAAACGTGGTATAAATGGGGAGTGACTACTTAAATATACAAAAGATTCCATATGAAAAATCTTCTTGTGGATAAGAAAAGCCAGGCAGGTATTTGAAGAAAGCAAGCTATTCTAAAGAGAGAATTGTGAGGGATGTTCTGCTAACAGTTCTGAATGAAACATGCTGAACTGTGCAATACGTACTGGTTGTTATCACCACGATGACTGCATCTATCATGACAGCATGTGTCTTTATGAAGGTGTGGGGAAAATACTGGTGAGCAAACAGGCAGCTCTGCCATCGACTCTGGCTGCCTCTGATCACTGAGAACCGCTGTTTGGACTCACTTTTATACACTGTTTCCTTACAGAAGAGACTTAGGCCATTTTCTTGTCTTGCTTTTCCCAGCTGCGGTGCTGGGTAGCAGGGAAAAGAGGACGTGGGTAGCAATACGAATCTCGGGGTGAAATGTGATACGTGAAAGCCTTCGATACTGTCAGCTGGAGTTGAAGCCTCTGGGAGCAATGCCGGGCTGGCCCGCCTGGTGGCAAACTGCTGTCACTGGCAGCGCCTCTCTGCTGAGCAAGTTGGGAAACAACGAGCACGCTCACTGGGATTTCAGGCTGTAATCTCATCTCTCTGCGTTCTGAGGCTTTCAGCGGCCTGCTCATCCCTCTACAATAGCAATGCTTCCTGCATCAGATATTGACGGGGCACTGCCATAACGAATGCGGAGTTCGAGCTGCAGAGATAGTGCCCGTGTCTCAAACTTCACAGAGTTCCTGGGGGGGGTTCTTCATCTTCTCCCTGTAGTTCTGCGACAGCGGAAATCAATATTCTGCCATCTGTAAATTCTTTGTTCCCCTTTTCACCAGGGCTTTATCAGCTTTGTAAGTGAAGGGGGGCCGGGGGGGGGGGGGGGGGAGGGCGTTTAGAGGGCCATTGTCCCTTCTCTAGGGAATGATCTAGAAGTACTATGCAAATCTTCATTTGAAGACTCTGGGAACCGGGGGAGGGCTTTAGCTGAGAGCTCAGTAGGAGGGGAGCTCAGTGTCCCTGCTCGCACACTCCTGCTTACTGCGAGTAGCTGGGAAGAGTTTTTTGAACTGGCAGAACAGACGTTTTGTGCTTTGTGCGCTTCTGTGAGGCTTTGCTGTCCTCCTGCTTTGTGCTTTTTTTCCCTGCCCTCCTTTCAAACTTTTTGCAAAAAATTGGGAAGGGGGGGGAGATCGAGGAGTTACTGTTACTGATTATGAGGTCAGGAGGGTGCAGCACCCCTCCTGCCTGCCTTCCTTGCGCGTTGATCTGGAGCCTCCTACCAGGCAGTGGTGCAGCTGCAGTGTGCTAGTCTGAGTTGCGTGTCAGCATAGCCTGACTGCTGGCACTGCGTTAGCATAGAGCACAGACCCGGTTTCAGTGAGCAAACGGTTCAGCTGGTAAGGAATAGTGGAGTGAAATAGTTTGCAGTTCTCAAATTAGCACATTGTAGCCAGGTCTTAAAAAGCCCTCTCTTACTGGGGCAAAGACTCGCAGCCCAGTACCTGCTTTATGAAACCCTGCAGTCTGTCCTGGCATGGCTTAATGCTGTGTGTCACCTGTTTTGTATTAGGAGAGGATCACACTAACTGCCAGCTTCCTGGAAACTGCGTAGGGTCCTGCTTAGGCCTCTTGGAAAGGGAAATACCCCTGCTGCACAGACACGAGGGAGAACAGGGCGGGGGGAGGAGGGAAGCATGGATTCAAATCTGGGCATTTTGGGGTTTATGCATGTTAAAGGCCGTCACGGACTTTTTACTTTTCTCACCTTCTTTTTCATGGCAGTAGCTCTGTTTATTTTCACTGCTTATTTTCAAACGTGGAGGGGTTTTTGTGTTCCAACAAACTCAAAAAGAATGACTTTCTCCAGGGCTGTCATTGTTTCAGTGTAATGCTGTTCTCTATGTTCATCCAAGAAGATGCAGCCTTTTCAAAAATCTCACCGGAGATTTTTGAACGGAGGTCTCCATACCACAAGGCCTGGTTCTCTTAGCTTCCACATATCCAGTGCTACGTAAGCCTACCAGTTTGTTCTGCAAGGACTTTACTGCTTGTTGGAGGGTGTATTGCAGGCGTCCTCTTGTGCCCAGCTGGGTCTAAATTCACTCTTTTTTTTTTCCTTCATGTGTAACTCCGGAGTGACTCAGCTGACTTCAACGAATGCCCTGTGGAACTGTGCTAGCTGGAAACCAGCCTCACTCCTGCAAGGGATGCAGCTACCTGTGCACGCTTCCGTGTACCATATCCGTGTAGGTGCTTTTCCAAGTACACTTGTTTGCATGTGGGCCAGCGCCTGAACGCACATTCTGCTCACCCGCTCTTCCCATATGCATGCAAACACACGCATTCTCAAGTGCACGCATCCATTCCCTTTCTCTCATACACGTTTACGCATATACACAGACCTTTTTGAAAGCTCCTGTTTTCAGAAAGGTTTTATTTATAGGTCCTGCCTGGTTGTGAATGTGAAAGGGAGAAAGCCCCTCAGAGGGGGCCTTTCATGTGTAAATCAGCCCAGGCTGAGAGCATTGGGGTCACTGAGAGGAGGATTTCTCTCTTAATTACTCAGAGAGAAAGCAGGCAGGGGACTTTCTCAAACTAATAGGGTTGTTCTCTGCTGGGGAAAGCAGCTTGAAACGCCCAATTGCATCAGACTTCGGGTTCTGAATCACAGGACTCCTCTTCCAGTTACAGAGCTTATGTGTATGTGGCACTAAAAACAAGTCAGCTTCCAAACCAGCTTTCTTATTAAAGATGGTTATGTTCAGTCTGATAACTCTGCGTTCTGTGGAGGCTGTCTGCAAAGTAGAAAAATGTTGTTTGGAGATTAGTGCCATGAAAGGGGCTCTGAACTTGGTCTTAAAATCAGCACTGAGTTCCCAGTTCAGCCATAGAGGGCCTTTGTGGCCTTTGACAAGAGGCTGCCCTGTGCCTAGCTGTGAAACAGCATCATCTTTCCAGAATGGGGCTGTTGAGAACAAAAGATATGGATTGTGATGCTCTTGGTTTTCGGGCTGAGTTCTAAGGTGACTCTGCATGTCTGAAGAGGTCGGTCTTTTTCTTGGAATGCAGTGCAAGCATGTGGATTTCCCTGCTGAAGTTTCGTGGTTGCTGTTCATCCATCAACACAAAATCGAATCTGGAAATCCATTGCAGAGGCAAAGCATTCCCCAGTTGTGACAGAAACCAGCCAGTTCTTTACAGGAACCACAGGACCTGCTTGTGCAACCACGAGACAGCATGAAATGCAGCTGCAAAATGCAGCTGTCAGCAGTTGCAGGGAAGAGATCACTTGTGCAGTGGTGTGCAAGTGCACGCAAGCGGATTTGCATTTATTTATTTATTCAGCTTCAATTAAGGTTACACCGTGTCATTTGTAGCTGCTTTTCATATGGTCTCTGGCTTTCTGGATTGGAAATAAATGCTTTGAGAGGTAAATGTCCCCAACCTGTGCCACAACCCTCCTGGAGCCCCAGTGCAGGGCTCTTGAAGCTGCATTAGGTCAGCTTGCCTGGGAAGGCCGAGGTTGGAGGCCCTGAGCACCTGTTTGAGGAGCGGTGGGGGCCAGCAGCCTGAAGTGCCTGCAGAGGTCAGGGAGAAATGAATGGGTCATTTCTTTTGCAAATGAAGAGCTCCAGCCTGGAGCAGCCTTAGCAGGGCCCAGCATGTGGGTCCAGGCTGTTCCTTTTATGAGCTGATGGAAATGGGGCCCGAAAGGACTTTCCTGATAAGAGTTCTGTCGCAGCCTTTGTTATCTTTGCCTCCCTCAGCATGCTGTGGCCATAGAATATGGACTGGGGGTTATCCTGGCTACCAGCATGGTCAGGAGGATGCAGGCTTCATGGCAGCAGAGGAAACCAAAGGCTGCAGGGTATCCTTATTGCCATTCCACTAGGAAAATCTTGTGTTAAGATGTAGAACACATGTTTCTCTCTGTGTTAGTGCTCCTTCTCATCCAATCTAAGGGCTGCTTTAAAGTAATGCACTTAACTGAGCATCAGGGATTTAAAAGCCTTGATTCTCTTCTTTCTGATGGTAAATTTTCACTTACTTTGACAAGTCCTATGAATACCTGATGCATCATTTTCCCTGTAAAACACTGAATAATAGGAGTATCTTTTTCTTAGAGGTGTTGAGAATTTGGGATCCTTCATGTATGCATGTGTGCTGTTAAGTAGCATGCTCTTATTGGTGGCCATAGTTATGTCATATGTTGTAGTTATGGTCATAGTTACTGGTTTTGTCTGCTTTTTGTGCAACAATGTTAATTCTTTCGATGTGTTGGTTTGGAATTCCCCTGACAGCAGACAAACAATGTCAGTTCTGTCCTTCCATTTGCTTTTGCTTTGCAGACCACCGTGGAACTTTTTTTTGCTGTGACATTGTAATGGGAGGTGGAGACACCTCGAGGAGAAGGTCGAAACAGACAGCAGCAGTTGCAGGCAGTAATGTCTGTCTATGACTGGAGAAAATCCAGCCCCAATTACAGGTTTGTATGATCTCTGTATGCCATCTTCACTACGTACAGGTATTTAAGGCAAGACATGACACGGAAATAGCTGCTTCCCCTGTAGCAGCTCCAGGAACAGCTTTCTATTATTGTGGAGCAGGGGAGGGTGAGGGTTTTAAGGGAAGGTGGCTAAGGTCACAGTAGCTATGCTCTGGGTTTTTCCTTGCTGCTGTGGTGCTACAGCCAGGGCCTGAGGCAAGCAGCTAAGAGTTAGAGAAGTCATGGGGCTTATGCTGAAGATAAAAACAAACTTAAGCTTAGACTTTATTTTTTGACCTCTGCTGTATGTGAAGGATTGTTTTTATGGCTTTATTTTCATTTTCCTTTAGAAATGTCAGGAAGACTCTCCATGTTTCAGATCTGTTTTGGTACATTTTCACTTCATGATGCTGAGTACTGATGCTCTCAGGAGGTTGCAGAAAAAGGACGTAAAACCATAATAAGTTTTCAGAGAGGTAAACACGCTCTTTATTTCTTAGAAACGTCAGCCAGGCTGTAAGTGGTGCTGAAAGAGAAGATGGATGTTTCTGAGGGCTTGGGGACAGTTTTGTGTTTGGGGTAAGGCTGAGGTTAGCCATGGCGCCTGCATCCAGGCAGTAATTTGACAGCAGACATGGGCACACAGTAATGCAGTCTCTGAAAATCTCCGAAACCTGCTGAGTTATTGTGAGCTGGAGGAGCTTTTTCTGCTTGTGGGCACATGAGTCTGCCTGCCTCACATTGTGAACGCAAAACTGAGACGTAAAGGAGGCTGGCAGATATTGCAGAACGCTGATGGAAGGGGGGACAGGGCAGAAGAAATGATAAAAGTTTGTAGATAAAGGGCTTGGTGCTAGTTGTGAATTCCTATCAGGTAACTGGTCTTCAAATGGAAGCATTTGTTAAGTAAAGTGATGATTTAAGGTGGGAGTTGGATAAATATCTGCAAAGGTTTTTGAACCCTGTTTGCAGTGTGATTGTGGGATATGCTAATAGAGAAAGCAGTTTTACTTGCTACCTAGGTCTTTTATTTGTTTATGTATCTAAAATACACAGAGCAGGCAGTGTGTATGATACCACTGAAAGAGGGAAGCAGGTAACACTATGGGGTGTGGGCACATAATATCCCACAGATAATCCTGTCTGCAAAGAAGGCATGTGAATTTCCTTCTGGTAACCCCCTGCCCCCCTACCATCCTGTGAGCATCACTGCTGGGTTATTTGGGGCCTTGTACCTGGCTGCTGGCTTGTGTCCCCTGTTCCACAGACCCACTCCTGTTCCACCATGGACAATGCAACCTGCTTTATGCATATTGGCTTTCTTGGATGCTGTGTGTCTTTTTTCCTTTTACTGGGGCTTAGGTAACTTGATGTAGTTGTAGGCTGTCCTTGGCAGTACCTGCAGTCTGTGGCTGAAGTGATGCCTTCCACAGAGCACAGCCAGCAGCTCCTCTTGTCAGTGCATATAGTGCATATCCCTTCTTTGTGCCTGTCAGTGCTCTGCTGGAGAACATAACAGGCTCTGCCCGGCAGGTCTGGGGCAGTTCCCCACACAGGCACACCCTGATTTCCTACCACAGCTCTGCTGTTCCACAGGATTGTAGCAGTTTGAGATTGGTGCTTTATTTCAGATGTTTTTTTAACTTTTGAGAGTCTGTTGGTGAGCCTTGAATCATTCCCATGCTTCAGCCTTGTGTGTTAATTTCCAAGGACGCTCAAGCTGCTGATAGATGTGTGCAGAAACAACCTTCGACCATTCCTGTAAATCACTGTATTCTTCATCAATTTCATTCCGGGCTTTTCCTTAAACTGGACGCAGGACAATGGACACCAGCAGGCACGGCTCCCAGTGACTGGGTTATTGTCACATATCCAAAAGCCTGGTGGGAGGAGCAGACATCAGGTCTGAATTCATCCTGCCGGGGAGATTCGGCTGAGAGAGGAGGAAAAGAAGGTCAGAGGAGGCTCCAAGGAAACGGCTTTGGTTTAAAACGTTTCATTAATTTTTTCACACTGGAAATATAAAGTGCAGAAATACAATTGCTTGGCAGAGAAACCACATTTATTAAGTCCTGTATACATTCAGTACTCTATACAGAAGGAGACAAAATATCTCCCTGACCAACTTAGCAGAATTACAGGTCCCTGTCGTATATGTGACTTCTTTTTTTGCTTCCCAAAATAGCTCACATAACCTGGAGCTGTTTTTTATCATTGATAAATGTATTGATAAAGAATGTTCTTTTTCTAGCAAACCATTGCTCTCTTCTGTAGTCACACAGTCTTTCAGAGCAGCCTACCTTTATCTAGGCAGTGTATCAGTGTCAGTCCAGCTGGGAACACTACCAGGATACTCTCCTCATATTGTTTCCCTTCCCCTCTGTGTCTGCCTTTGATTTTTCCTGTTGTAACTCTATAAGATAATCACAGCCAACCTTTTCGAAAGGGTTATTCTTCTCCCTGTTGATTTGACAAGCTTCTTTTTGGGAAGATATTTTGCACCTGCCACTTGAGCTTTGTAACCTCGGGATGTTCTGCCTCATGCAGGCAGCGCTGGGAGTTTGGGTTCGTGCACATACCTGCAAGAGATAGCCAATGCAGGGTTACAGCAAATGTCACCAGTTGGAAGGCAGGAAAGGAGCTGCCAGTAAGTCTCATCTGCTTTCTTCTTTTGGGGCATAATTTGGCCAAAAAACTGAGCAGTCAAAATGTCACAGATGTATGCGGATGGGTTTCTCCTGGGAAGCCAGGATTACTTTACGTTTATTTTTTAAATGATAGGCGAAAAACTTGGAGGGGTTTTGTTATTACATGCCAGTGGTAATTTAAAAATTATTCTGGCTCTGAAAGAAATGTTTCCCAGCAGATTGCCAAAACAAAAGCATGCACACAATGCCCTACAAAAAGGTCAGTCCTGTCCAGGCTCTGAAACACCTGAAGTACACACTGTCAGCCTTTCGCACTGCCAACCCCTGTGGTACATTTGTACCCAGGCTCTTGTCAGCACTTCACATAATTTTTATGTTCTTTACTGACTGTGCTGGGCAGCGTGTTGTCAGGCCCTGCATGCATCAGCCAACTCTGCAAGCTCCTGCAGGTCCAGCTGCATGTGTTCAAGGTCTGCTCTGATATGGTGGGTGTATCCTGGGACCAGAGTGCTGAGAGAAGCCTGCTGGGGGCTCTCTGCTTTCCTTGAGAGCTGTGACACAGAGCTGTCCTTGTCTGGGGGTAGGCTGTAGGTGTGTCCAAGTGTCACCCTTCCTGATTCTGACTTGCTGACTTGACTTTCTGCCTTGGCCTCGAATCAGCAGGCTTGTTTGATGCTTCTTGGACTCCTGGTTAGACTTGGTTAGTCTTACCAGACCTGCTCCACTCTTGTTTCTGCACTCTGCCTACTGCTGAGGTCTCTGCCTGCCCTGCTGTCACAGTGTGCCAGGCTTCTCTTGTGCTCCTCTGCAGCTCCCACACTGCTCTGCTCCCAGCATTGACCTCAGCCTCCCTGCAAAGCATCTCTATCTGGAAAGTTAGAGAGCAAGTGGGCAGGAGTACAGGAGATGCTGGGAGACCATGCTGGTTTATTGCTATGACAAATAAAAGAAACGTTGCATTAGTTTTGCCTTCCATGTTTTCCAACTTCTTAAAAAGACAAACCCCAAATTGGGTCTGTTGGCAAGGGCTTGGAATGCTAAGCAAACAGCCGGCAGGAGGAGCTCTCAAGACATTTTGCTTGATCAGTTTTTGGACAGTCCTAGCGGTATATTTTAAGGGCATCACTTTAGAGGCACTTTCTTGCAGAAAAACTGACTTAATTGAGCTGCTTCAGTGACTTTTATTTTACATATTTGTAATTCCTCCACACCCCCATTTTCTCAGGTCCCTTCTTTCATTGTGATGTCTCTCTCAGTCATTGATTGAGAAACTTACTATTCATGAAAACATTAGGGATCATTTTGGTTCCTGGAAGGAGGCAGATGGGTTTTTTAACTTCCAAGAAAGCTAATGAACAGCATCCTAACCACGGAGTAAAGAATTCCTAAGCAATCCTTATCTCTGAGTAGAAAGATATCAAGGAAAGATAACAATTTGGATTCCTTACACCCTATGAGGGAACCTCTAAGCAAAGGAGCTCTGCAATGCATCAGTACCACTCTGAGTGTTCAGCTGACAAAGTTCTTCAAATAGCTCTGTCTCCTGGTATACAGTTGATCTTTTTCTTCTGTAAGAAACAACAGTCATTGGAGGAACAGGAGGACAACAGTCATACTCTGTGTTCCCCCTGCTTCTTAAATCCAGACCCAAACTGAGTGGGTCCTGTAGCCACGCCTCTGCACCACCTCTAAAAACAAATCCAGATTATTGTTTTTTCTTTCCTATGATGGACTTTTTTTGTAAGTCTGGCCTTTGTTTAGTTATCCAAACGGGAGCTAAGTGCCTTCTGGTCTTGAATATTGCTGTAATAATTATTTGGAATGCACTAGAAACTATTGTAATGCATATCAGTGCAAGTTAAGTCAATAGAGATTCTTCAAATTTATCCTGGTGTTCAGAGAATGGAATTCATGCACTTCAATTTACAGCTTATCAGATTTAATGAATTCACAGTGATCTTTTATGTTCTTGTTTACACATTTTCTTCCTATTCAACCATAATGTATGTGATTTGGAAAATGCAGAGCTGAAAGGCAGTGTATGGGTCAGATATGTCCCACGGAGCACAGCGCTGTGCTTCGGATTTCAATCACGTTTGCAAAGCCTCTGTGCAGAAGTGCTACTTTCTGACTCCCTTGATGCACAGAAATCCAGCTTGATTTTTCAGAACTCTCTTTGCATTCTGGAAGCTAGAAAAGTGTACTGATGAACAGAAATGATGTTCTTTAGAGTCATTAGATGATAATTATTAAGAGAAATTCTTTATTTTATTTTTTGAAGGTGATTTTTCAATGTAGTGCCATATTTTAGTTTGAAGGCTGGTAAATTGGAAACCATTGGATCTACCTTTTCTATTACTCTGATATTTGGAAGTCATTTAGTACGTCACCAAGAAAACCTCACATAAACCTTCCTTTTCCCAGGATATCAGCATACCATCTGAAGGTTATCCCACTGTGGTTCATTCTGTTCAGGGTTTGAAGGACAAAAGGATCACATTGATTTCCATGATGTTTAAGGCTAAACACGTGAAACCATGTTCTCACCTGGACATTATTTCTCCCTGACTTTACGAAACGTGACAACTTGAAAATGCTCCATCTGATCAATTGTAAACATTCAGGTAATTCCTATTATTACTGTGGGAGAGTATCACTACTCTGGGAAAACAGTAGAAACCAACATGGAAAAATGAGGTAGCAGCAGTAATTTAGATATCACTCATTTGCAGATCAAGTGATTGGGCAGTAGCACTCATTTGTGTTCCTGGCATACCAATACATTTTTTCTCCTCTCTGAGAACTGGAGTTATCACATCACTGAAAGATCTGTGGCTGGACAAATAATACAGAGCTTGTATGCAATCTGTGCAAAACTGAAGGAAAACAGATCTGAAGTTCAGAATGGAGGAAAGGATGGTGGACATGCAACAACAGCAGGAGTGAAGGTATGCATGGAAATGCTGATAGTGACCTTGAGAGGAGGTAGATGGGGCACTGTGCTGCTGTTGTAGGAGGGAATGAAGGATTCTCAAGGAGAGTAGGAAGAGGATTCCTGAAGGGGAGAAGTATTGGCATCACACCAACCTGTGTGCAGCCTGCTTGTGAGCATGTGTGTGCTTCAGGTGTTAGAGGGGAGGCTGAGAGAGGGCTTTGGAAAGGTGGCACATGAGGCATCTGTGAAGCAGGGGGGAGTGTTAAAAAATGAGAGAGGCCCTTAGAGTAAAGGGAAGTGGGGTGAGACTGGATTTGTTCTGAGGATTTGTAAAAATGGGGGAGAGGATAGCCCGTGGTGGGCTCGAGGAAGGTGAGTGTCCTGGCTTCACAGGGCCCAGCTTTTAAGTACTGCCTTAATGCTGTTGAAAAACAAAGGAGCCTTAATGGCTTTCAAGTACTGCTCTATTTTCTAAACTCATTAGATTCTCTTCTTTTCATCTTAGTACTGGATGTTGAAGCTTACTAAGCAATAACCTAACAACACTGCTAGTATTTCCATGTTCTGTTTCTTTAAGAAGTTCATAAAACTTGTCACACTGTCCCTGCAAAGCTCTCTCTGCTGCACTGTCTAATCCAAAATACTGTGTATGAGATTTATGTTCTGTGATAAACTTGGACCCCACCACATTACAAACGAACAGATTACTTAAAGTTGCCCTTATTATTGAGTTTGAAGGGCTCTTCTGTTTCGTGCAGTACATCACCCTCAGCCCACAGCTGTGGTCTCCACGGCTCTGTGCCTCACACATCTACAAGCTCGGGCAATCTGGAATGAAGAACTTCCTCCAGAGGCACTTTAATACTTTGGTGGATTCACTGTGTTCTTTGTGATAAAACTGTGTGTGTCTGAACCACAGTAGAAGATAGGAGGCATTGTGGAATTGACCAAAGGGTCCTTGGTATGTAAATAATAGGTTTCTCCTCTCTTGTGTAAGTCGCCTTGAACTTGATATTTTAATATGTAAGGCTTCCCCAAAACTCTGGATCCATCTTGTAAGGTTCCTAGAAAAATAATTATACACAAAATCACCGGACTTCAGATTCACCCCATGTAAAGCCTGGCAAACTTGAGCCTGAAGACCAAGAAGACTGAAAGTGTAATGCCAGTCACACCCTCAACACAAAGACTACAGGCCTAACCAGAGCAGGAATTTGCTACAAAATCTCTCTGATCTGAAATTGAGCAGAACTCTGGGAACGGCTGCTAAATACCCAAGGCCAGAGACTCCTCGTCCTCAGGCCAGTTCTTGTGTTATACGGTGATCTAAAGCTTGTTCTGTTTCCAGTTTATGGAAAGATTGCTAATATTCATTGTAGCAATTGAAATATTTTGCCTGGTCTTTGTTGCTGTTGTTGAAATGAGTCTACATGTAGCTGAATTAATAGTTCTTCTCATAGTGACTGCAGGACAAAAAGACATCACTGTCTCCCCATTTCCAAGCGAGAAGTTCACCTTCCAGCTCTGGGTGTACCCTTGGGATGGCAACAGTGACTACCAGCACTAACAGTAGTATAGTTTATACTGTCTAGATAGCCTTGGGGCAAAAGATCAGCTTAATCATTAATGAATCATCTTGAAGTTACTTGCCTTGAAAAGGTGTGACCAAGCAGTCTGGTCTCTATATTGTTTCTCAACTCAGACCATCACCATCAATTTCACGTGTTCATTGTTTGGTTCAGCTGATACTAAGAAGTCATTTGCTGAATACTGGGGTTTTCTTCTGATTTTGTATCCCAAACACAGCTGTAATTCAGTGTGACTCTGGTGGAGGGTCGCTGCATTACTCCAAGACCTGTCAGATATCCAAGTATTCAGTGGCAACAGCTGAACAGAGACAGGCAGAGAGGAACACACTGAACTTCTCAGCTGGCTTCTTATTTCCAGCCCCACGCTCTGTACTGTTGTACTGGGTGGTCAGAATCCTTCAGTTCTTTTTGGTTTGTTAATGCTAGCAGATGGAAATCCAGCTCAACTTTCAAAAATGCTGAATAATTTATTAAGAACAAAATTGTTGGGTTTGAGAGCTGGTTCCTTCTCTTTTTCTCCTTTTTTTTTTTCGTTCTTCTCCAAACTGACTTTCAGAGGCAAAGTTTCTAATTACAGGTCAGAGAAGCAGGTTTAATCACACAGCAGAGCCCTTGATGCAGCATTAGAGAGCGTTATTTATACACCTGAATTAATAGGGATGCAGCATTTCAGTAGAGAACAATAAGGTGGTTTTCAATTTCACTCTTTTTTTTTTTAATGTGAAACAAGCCACATCAGATTAATCAGGCTTTTTGACCTAATTTATTCAGATTTTAAGTAACCAACAAGTAAGTGCTGTGCAGACTTGGAGCAGAAAGAAGCAGGAATAGAGAACTGCACACGTAGCAAGGGCATATCAGAGAAAGCCAGGAGGAGATCAAAAGAGGAAGCCTTTGGGCAAACTAACCAGGGCAAAAATACAAATATGCTGCTGTTTGTCCTAGGGAGGACTTTTGGAGAATGGTAGCAGCCACAGAAACTGGAGGACAGCCTGTGGTGTGTTGATATGCACCCAGATACCTCAAAGCTTTGTTCTTGTAAAACCAGGAATAGGAGTGGTGAAGATGAAACCTGAAGCATACGAAGAGTCCCTTGTACTCTGTGCTGCAGGGAATGGGATCCCTGCACCATCAGCACTTCGAGGCAGCTTTTACTGGAGGTGTTGGTTCTGTAGCACTGAAAAGAAGTGAGAAGTCCTGCATGGGATTGTTCCTGCAATGTCATGGTCTCCAGTGTGACTGATTTGCAGCAGTATGGAGGTGAATTTTCTCAGGTGTTTTGGAACTCAGGCTTCCTGTGCACTTTTCTCCAGTTTCACCTCTAACTCGTGTAGTTTGGCTTTATGTGTTTCACTCGGCTGCTTGGAAAGTCTATAAACATTTATAGGACTTTCTTGGGCTTTTTCAGGGTTAAAAAGTGGGAGGCTTGTGACTTTGCATTTGATTCTCTAAGTTATAGGACAAGCTGGGCTGACTGACATCCTGATGCCCGGGTAGGTAGTGTGTCCCATTGGTCCATGTGATGGGAAAGGCCCCCAGCACCAGGCTCATGCCTTCCAGCAGGAGTTTTCCTGTGATTCATTATCCCAAGGTGTGCCCAGGGACCTGGCAAAGCTGTGGAGCTCACCATGACCCAACAACCCATCTCATCTGCCATGTGAAAATCCTAAAGCACGAGAGAGAAAAAGAGAGGGAGTCCGTGCTTCAAAATAGCTGAAATGCAGGTTCTGTGGGTAGGGAGCAAAGGATATCAGCAAGAGTACCAGGCTCATGCTCTATATGTGAGACTTGACATGGCCTCCTGTATTTTGCTGTGAGTGATAGATGTCTAGATGTCATACTCAGCTAAGAGACAGATGAATGCAGTGCAGTGAGAACCTATATGATATATATTACTTATAAGGTTAAGGAAAAAAAGGTTATCTACTTTTGTGAGTTTATTTTCAATCTGAAGATTTTTTTTGTGTGTGTTTAGATTACAAAGTCTGTGAACCTTAATCTCTTGTATGTCTGCAAGTCATTACCGTGGTGCTGGAATAGCATGTGCAGGAGTAGAAACTGGCATGGAATGTCACAGTGCTGCAGCTCCCTCCACCAGGCTGGGTCTTGAGCAGTGTGCTGGGATCCAAAACTGGGTTACAACCTGGATGGAAACTCGATTGCAGAAAAAGGTTCACAGATGTGAGAGCAAGCAAAGCCTTCAGGAGAGAAAATGGGAAATTCTGCTCCCCAGGACACAACAATAGCCACTCAACTCTACTTTGTGGGCCTTATGTTGCCAACAGGAGGTTTTCTGCCAGGCTGCAGAGATGCAAGATCTGTGCTGCTCTCCCTGTGACATCCTTGTTATTACTGTCACATGCAGACGGCTGACACCCACTGTGTCAAAGTCAAGGTTTGGTGTTGTGCTGCAGCAGACAGCGTGCTGGGTGTGTGATAGTCAGACTGCCCTTCCTGTGGGAGGAGATTTAGAGGGAGACGTTGCTTTTTGGTGTGCAAAAATAGCTATCTACCAAAGCTGGAGGATTTCAGAGAGGGAGGAGGCTTGTTAGGGAAAGGATTAGCAGCGAGTACATGGATGGTCATATTTCAGGACAAACACCTGTAAATCAGCCTAAGCCTGTAAGTAGCAAGCTGTTAAACTGAGTTCACCTCTGCAGCACTCGCCCTGTGCCTAGTCAGCAAGGCCAGCTCCAGCCCTGAGTAGTGCTACAAGGCTCAGCCTTTTCCCATCTTGTGTACCGTGGAAATGGAGAAGCTGCAGATGTTTACAGCTGGCAAGTCAAAACACTTAGTGATGTATTAAGGAGGTGATGCCATAATACCTCCTTTTTTAATCCATATTTCTTCATTTCTGCTTCTTTTCTCATTTCTAACCCTTCGTAGAGTTCTGAAATTATTTTCCTTCTTGTTTGCTTTTGAGAGGCTTTTTTTATTTCTCAAGAATTTGTTTTTGACACAGATTATAGGTCAAGTCTCCCTGTCCTGCCCCCTCTGTTCAGCAGAAGAGCTGTTAACAGAAGTGTGGTGCCTGTTTTCCTGAAGGTGATCCATACCATTCTTCTGGCATCTCATGCCCCTTTACTCCAATTGTAGGATGAGAAATCAGGATTTAACTTGGCTTCTCTATTACTACACTTGCAATGCATTTCAAATATTGGGTTTTAATCGTAGTTTAGAAGGTTTTTTTTCCTTTATTAAAGAAAACCTGTGAAGTTCTATCATTGTTATTATGTTGTCACCACTAATTTATATGATACTTTGGTTGTTACCTGAGCTAGCAGAAGACACCTTCAGAGAAGGTATTTAATGTAAGAAGACGTATAATGAAGAGCCATTTGGATTTCTCACCTGTGAGGGAATTTCTCTCCTGTAGATAAGGCAGGGTGAATATCTGCAGTGAACTGAGGCCCCAGCTCTGACCTCAGCTCATGGGCTGGTCCCAGAGGGTCCAATAAACCCCTGATTTCAGTAATACTACATCTTTGCTTCAAGCAAAATATATGCTTAA